ACAGTTTCTACTGTCAAATTGAGTTGCAGAAATTCTCCCTTCAAACTGCAAATCAGTTTCTTCTGTAGAGTACCTCTTGCTCCTTTTTCATATGACAGATACTCAGAATTACTTACTAACATTAGCTATTTCCCCCTCCAGTAATTTAAAACACCAGGGTAAAGCCAGACCTTGGACCTATCATATCACCTTCTTCAAAATGCCTCCAAAGCCCCCTCAAGTTTCAAGAATCAAAATTAAAATCCAAATATTTCCCATTATCCCTAATGTCTGGCAAGTACCTGTACTTTAGTTTAAATGAAAATGGTGTTAAACGTATCGACCAGAGTCAGCTGAAGCACTAAATACAGCCAAGCTTCTGAGACAGCAGTCTGCAATGAAATATGGCATCTGATTCTGAGAATAATGAGAAATGACACAACAATCATAAGATTAAACCAACTAAATCTCACAGGACACTGCAATAAAAGGAAGTGCTTTTATCAGGTCTGCAAAACACTTCACCATTAGGACAAATCAGAAAACTTTGCTAAGAAATGCAGTTGGGAACGGACACACGTATCTTCTTTTCAGAAGGTCGAAAGTACCCAGTTTGTTTACTCACTCCTCGTCTCCCTTCCACACTACTCAGTTTGTGTCCTCGCTGCTCATCTCTTGTCAAATAGTTCAAACTACGTGATTTTGGGGGAAGGTAGTAGCTTTCTTTTTGCATGACAACAGTTTGCAGTAGGCTGCTGGTCCAAGATTAAGATTACACAAGTAGCATGCAAGATACTACAGTGAGTATGAAGCACATCTGTGCTCCAGAACTGAGTTACAAAGACAATGATAAATAATTACATGTTCTTCGACTTCAAAGATGTTTTTAAGGTCACAAGCATATATTTGGAAAACAAAATAATCACAAAATGTTTCACAGATTTTTTAATAAAAAGGTCATTGCTAAATTTATGTACTATGCTTAAAACTGCCACTTGACAAAACCAGGGATATAGTAACACCAAAACCAACCTTCTTCCATCTGATGAACAAAAACCTCTTTGAAGAGGCACGAAAATCTATTTGGGGCAGTAACCACAATGTTGCATCACTAAATATTCCACTGCTCAAGAAGCGAGCTTAGGAACAGCCACACGTTGCCTTCCACTCTGCACTATTTTAAAATAACAAATTTCACGTACAGATGGTGACAAAAGAAATCTCAAGAAATTAAGCTTAGCATAACCAGAGAGAGCTTCAGAATCTTTATGGATTCAGTCAATAAATGACTATGGAGTAACAAACTGGAGCACATCAGTAACAATCACACAGTAAGACTTCATCTTAACTGCATCTTCATTCCTGAACCATTAAACGTGGCACCAGAACGTACAAAACTGGCACAGTGAACCCTAAGAACCACACGAACCACAGAGAAACGATGAGCAAGCCTTACCTGTTTACACGCCTGCCGACACTCCACAGCAATGGCGAGCTCGCAGCAACCTAATCCGACCCACCCGTCCGACTTCTTCAAAACTCCTTGGAAAAGAAGACGACAGTACGTATTACGGCAGGTATGCCATCGTTTTTTCTTACAGCCCCATAAGTCAGTTACTTTTCAAATCTGATAATCCTGTTCTCATTCAAGAAGCCCATTTACAGATTACGTTTTTACTGGAATTTATGAAGTCATTCCAAATCAACTTTAAGCAAGAAAAGAGCAAGCCTGCGCCTTAATAAATCATAGAATGGTTTGGGTTGGAAAGGACCTCAAAGATCATCCAGTTCCAACCCCCCTGCTATGGGCAAGGAAACCTTTCACTACACCAGGCTGCCCAAAGCCTCATCCAACCTGGCCTTGAACACTTCCAGGGATGGGGCAGCCACAACTTCTCTGGGCAACCTGTTCCAGTGCCTCACCATCCTCTGAGTGAAAAATTTCTTCCTTATATCCAATCTAAATCTCCCCTTTTTCAGTGTAAAGCCATTGCCCCTTGTCCTATCACTACACACTCTTGTAAAAAGCCCCTCTCCAGCTTTCCTGTAGGCCCTTTAAGTACTGGAAAAGCTGCTATAAGGTCACCCCGGAGCCTTCTCTTCTCCAGGCTGAACAGCCCCAACTCTCTCAGCCTGTCTCCATGGCAGAGGTGAACAATTATGAAGTACCTTCTGTACAATGAGTTTAAAGATGCTATATGCAAGCTATTCTATATGTTCACTGGAAGTATCACGGTTTGATAATTTGATTTATCCAATCTGAAATATAAGCCAACAGAAATCAACAGGAAAAAAAACAAACCCTCATTAAATTAACAACATTATCTCCTACAGACACATCCTTTTGTTGGTTCCAATAGGACATTTTTCTCCCAACTTTGTCAACGCAGAATATGTTTCTTACTTTTTCTTCAAGCTTCCTCTACTGGTTTTGGTTGGGATGGAGTTAAATTTCTTCACAGTAGCTGGTATGGGGCTGTGGTTTTGATTTGTGATGAAGACAGTGTTGATAACAGAGGGATGGTTCAGTTATTGCTGAGCAGCGCTCACGCAGCATCAAGGCCTTTTCTGCTTCTCATACCGATCCGTCAACAAGGAAGCTGGGGGTGCACAAGAAGCTGGGAGGGGATGTAGTGGAGAGAGCTGACCCCAACTGACCAAAGGGACTTCCCAGACCATATGATGTCATGCTCAGCAATAAAACTGGGCGTTGGAGCTTGGTGGGGGCTGCTGTTGTTTGGGGACTGGCATCCGTCAGCTGGGGGTTAGCCATTGTTTTCTTTTGCATCATTTGGGTTTTTATTTTTTTTTTTTTCTACCATTTTTTTGATTATTAAACTGTCCTTCTCTCAACCCATGAGTTTTCTCACTCCTACCCTTCTGATTTCCCCCCCCATCCCATCAGCAGGGGAGTGAGTGAGCAGCTGTGTGGTGCTCAGCTGCCTACCTGGGTTAAACCACAACCCTTCCTCCATAGTTTATCCTCCCCCATAACATGGTTTCAAATCCAGAATCACCTTCAGTAGAAGCCTCCCATCTCCCTGTCTCTCTTTTCATTTATTTCACTACTCACTATCCTAATTTCTTACCATAAAGTCACCTAGAAAAGCAAACTGCTGCCATAATTTGTTTCATCCTCTTAATCTATTCCCAAATATAGATTTTCTGATAACTTCAAGACATCAGAACTCAAATAAAAGAAGAATGCACTCCTGTGTCTATTTCTCATATCACTTTGAAGACAGATATAATTCAAGGGAAGGTTTAACCTATGCAGCTGCCCAGCTGCTGTGGCAAATTTGTTACAGTCATTTTCTTGGAGTGGGGAGTGGAATTACTTAGCTTCAAGGAAGCACTCATTTTTGTTATGAATTTTTTAAAAATAAAGCAGTATATTAGGACATGCACAAATTATATCCTTTATGTAGAAATAAAGAGTACGAAGTAAAAGAATCAACCACTTTAATTAAAAAAAGTGCTCCTAAGCCTAGTAGAAATGCCTATTCGGAAAAGTCACAGGGAATGTCCAGCTTTGAATAAAGGAAGTGAAAGAGCTAAGAAAGGAAGTGAAAGAAATGCTAAGAAAATACAGGGAAAAAATGTCATTAAAAATCATTGCAATCAATGGAAAACAATCACCAGTAGGTATTTATCGTGAACAAAATTGCATTTAAAATACACTCTGTTGGCTTTACCAACACAGGTGGCACTGAAAGCCTTGCAGTACCAGTCTTTCATGACGTGAAATGGGCAAATGAAGAAAACACACTAATGGTAAATTTATAAAGGAGGAGCAAAATCTTTCGCTAAATTAACGTATTAAAATGCAAATTAAAACTTTCATGCTCAAGACAAGCGAGGTAGCAGGACTGCACAGCAGGCAGAGGGAGCAGAGGTGGAGAACAGCTGTTGGTTGCAGCCTGCGTTGTCAGGAAACGGCCGTGTGCCATCGGAACGGTCCCGTCCTTCGGGAAGCACTGCAGGACACTGAGTTTTTTTGGAGACTGTCCAAATCCTGTTTACGTCTATTCAGAGTATTGGCTCGCTCTTTCAATTCAGACCAGTTCAAAGCAGCTATGAAGGCCATGAACAACTGGAAATTCAGCTCACCTCCCACTTCCATAATCGGGGTATGGAATTAGTTTTTCCGAGATTGAGCATCTTTTTGGAAGTGTTAAAGATACGGCTGTTGTGCACACACCAGTACTTTGTACTCAACGTTCCAAAATTAAAAAACATAAAAGCAGTATCACGTGCAATATGAAACGAGATTTCCAGAAATCTCTGTGGCAATAACCAGCTAGATCCAGGAGAAACACGTGGCAAATACAGCTGTACAGCTTTAGGGGCAATGTCACCACTGAACCCGTATTTTGTGCAATAGAGAGCCTGTGGTTTTCAGAAATGCTTTTCCTGGAACTAAACCATGCTAAAAGAATGAAGCAAGCTACAAACACATGCCAAATTAAAAACACTGATAAGTTTCAGCCATGGTTAGTATCTTCTTGGCAAGTGGCCCTCTCCCCAGGACAGTTACGAGTAGCAGACATGCTTGCGGAGAAAAAACACTGATGTCACATCTTCAAAAAATACTGAACTGCAATTTTAAAACAGCAACTTATAAATCAATTTTATAGTCAAGGTAATTAAAACGCATGCATTTCTAGATAAAAACACAGCTTCAGTGCACAATTAATTGACTGGAGTCCATTATTTCTGATTATTCACCAAATTAACAGACAGAAGCACACTACAGATCCCTGAACTATAAAAGATTGTCTAGTTGGTTAACACAGGCTCTTGTCCCACATCTCCAGAAAGTTCCAGAAGCCACATCCCAATAGTGAGATGACTTACACCACATGCGCATTCTTCTTCCTATTATAAACATTTTACTGCAGTCTCCACAAAAGTATCAAAGTCATAAACGTGAAAAATCAGAATGTCATCTCGGATACATTTATTTTGTGATGAGAAACATTCTGAAAATATCTGAGAAACGCTGGATCACTGTGATCCAGAGGAAAACAAAAAAGAAGAGGGAAAAAGAAGAAAGGGAAAAGCAACCAAGCTTCTCACGTTCCGGAGTTGCGTGCTTCAAGAAGGGTGCAAGAAAGCTCAAGTCAGAATTCTGTTGTATCTTTGGAGTCTTCTACACTGCTTACAGAAAATGATGAAGCTTAAAATCCGAACACAGTTATCATCTAGAATTACATGTTGCTGGGTTTGGTTTCCCTCTGCCCCCCTCAGCTGGGGGTCCCTCAATCAGCTTCTTGAACAGCATGGTGTGTGCATGGTCATACAGAAATTTTAATTTCCTAGACGAGCCCCCCAAAATAACACATGTTCTGTAGGCCTCCTGGATTTAAGAAATAAAGATTGATCAACTAATGATATTTCCCATCAGAAAACATGGAAAAATAGTTTTCTTTCAGAGAATATTCACATTCCTGAACACCTAGTCTTTAAGTATTTAAGGCTTACAACACTGTCTTGGCAAGGACAACAAAACATGACTTACAAAGTTGTTTTGTGAGGATAAGCCAGAAAAGAGTTAACAGAAGACCATCATGATGGGTTTAAGGAAGTGGAAACAAACGTGGACAAGAATGGTAGCTGTGAGGATATAGAATCTTGGAATCATAGAATGGCATAGGCTGGAAGGGACCTTAGAGATCATCTAATCCAACCTCCCTGTCATGGGCAGGGACACCTCTCAACTAGACCAGGCTACTCAAGGCTCCATCCAACCTGGCCTTGAACACCTCCAGGGAGGGGGCATCCACAACCTCTCTGGGCAATTTATTCCAAAGTCTCACCACCCTTGTACTGAAGAATTTCTTCCTAAGATTTAGATTAGATCTGTTCTCCTTCAACTTAAACCCATTTCCCCTTGTCCTATCAGTGGACACTCTTGTAAAAAGTCCCTCCCCAGCCTTCCTGTAAGTTCCCTTCAGGTATTGGAAGGCAGCTATTAGGTCCCCCCGAAGTCTTCTCTTTTCAAGGCTGAACAATCCCAGCTCCCACAACCTGTCCTTGTAGCAGAGGTGCTCCAGCCCCTGGATCATCTTTGTGGCCCTCCTCTGAACACGCTCCAACAGATCTATGTCTCTCTTATGGTGGGGACACCAGAACTGGACGCAGTATTCGAGGTGGGGTCTCACAAGAGCAGAGTAAAAGGGGAGAATCACATCACTTGACCTGCTGACCACGCTTCTCTTGATACATCCCAGGATGCGGTTGGCCTTCTGGGCCGCATGAGCGCACTGCCGGCTCATGTTGAGCTTCTCACCTATAAATCCTTCTCTTCAGGGCTACTCTCAACCCACTCTGTGCCCAGTTTTTATTTGCGCCTAGGGTTGGCCTGACCCAGGTGAAGGACGTTGCATTTTGACTTGTTGAAGCTCATGCAGTTTGCACTGGCCCAATTCTCAAGCCTATCAAGGTCCCTCTGGATGGCATCTCTTCCCTCAGTCCACGGCACCACACAGCTTGGTGTCATCGGCAAACTTACTGAGGGTACACTCAGTGCCGTCATCCATGTCACCAACAAAGATGTTGAACAGCACTGGACCCAGAATAGACCCCTGAGGAACACTGCTTGACACTGGTCTCCATGTAGACATTGAATATGAACATTTTAAGTTAACCATGTGATGAAGTTACTGGTAAATCAAACAATATCAGAATTTTAGCACAGATCAGTAATATCAAGTGGCTGTGGGGATGGAATGGAAGAGGAGAAAACGAACTACAATGAACATACACAAAGGATGTATCGAGCAGCAAATTGTAAGGCAGGGTCCCAAATTCATAGTAAATATGTTGTGTTATGACAGGATGGCACTGAAGCCCATATGCAAAACAGGTTTCCACCTGCACTCCTACCAAAACTGCCAGGCATGTCACAGAGCTGTTAAGAAAGAAAATAACTATTGAAGACACTTTTATCCAGTCAATATTCTGCACCTGTCTGCGACAATGCCGATGTCGGGAGGGCTGTACACAGTTTCACCATAGTGTGTACACGTGTCTGCGTGAAAATTCTTTGTGGATGCTGTCCTGTGAAAAAACAGGGATGCTGATCCGGTCAAAACTCAGTTTGTGGGGCCATTCTAAACCCTGTCATGAAATACGTTCCGTACTGAGGGTAGTCAAAGCGGAGAACAACCAGAAGGAAAACCACAGAATCCCTGAGGTGGGAAGGAACCTCTGGAGGTTGTTTAGTCCGGTCTCCCTGCCCAAAGCAAGGTCAGTAGAGCAGGCTGCTCAGGACCATGCCCAAGAAAGCTTTGGATACCTCCACAGATGGAGGCTCCAAAACCCCTCTGAGCAACCTCATCCACTGTTCAATGATCCTTACAGTGAAAAAGGTTTTTCCCATATTTAAATGGAAGTTATCGTTGCTCCAGAAAGGCAGTAAGAGCTTCTCCTATAATGCTGTCCTAGATCCACCACGCCATTAAGTTACCAAACCCTACAGTGCATGGAGTCACTGCAGAATACTTCAGAGAATTTTAAAAGTGGTTCACATCAAAGAAGAAGAAAACAGTAACGTGACTTCCCATGCAAGAAGAATGACACAACTGGCTTCATGCAGGCGCAAAGTTCAGGATACAAACTGAGGATACTACAGGAGGATTTATTATTTCACTTCTATGACAGGACTAAACTACGATTACAGCATCATTGAAGAAGTGACCTTTTTTCCATCGATCAGAGGATATTAAATCCTACCATAAAGGCACTGAAGAGGCTTCACATCCGTTTAGGAATTACAGGAAAACAGTTTGGAAATAGTTCATTAACCAAGATTTCCAAGGCTTTTTCACTCGCTTATACAAACCTGACATTCCAAACAAAACATGTATTTCTCACTTGCAGTAAAAGCCCTGCCCCTTATTGCATAGAGCTACTGAGCTTCAATGGAGACTACGCGTTGTCTCCAACCAAAAACTTATCAGGTTTTAGACCGGACAGAACCCTGCATCTCCAAAAGATATTTCTGGTGAAGTAAAACTAGCCAAATGTGAGCCAGCAAGTCCCGTGCACTGGAATCGACAGTTTGCCTCTGGAGTGGGACGGGGGAAAGTCTGAGCAGATGCCAGAAAACTGGCACAGCCTCCTCTTTCCCCACCACAACTTTTTCAACCCTAGCATGCTAATTTCACTCAAAGTCTTTCAGATACGACATACAACAGTACTAGTTAAGTCCAATTGCATCTATTTTTAATCTCTCCTTTTAACATAACAGTCCTGTCTTGTGATTTATGCTTTAACTTTCCGAATCCACCCACGCCCAGTAGTTCAGTTCTTCAACTGAGTCTCTGCACTTCTTAAACTATTTGTCTAGTTCACAGAATCCCAGAATCACAGAATGTCAGGGATTGGAAGGGACCTCAAAGGATCATCTAGTCCAATCCCCCTGCCGGAACAGGACCACCTAGATCAGATCACACAAGAACGTGTCCAGGCACATTTGGAACATCTCCAGAGAAGGAGACTCCACAACCTCTCTGGGCAGCCTGTTCCAGTGTTCTGCTACCCTTACTGGGAAGAAGTTCTTCCTCATGTTTAAGGGGAACCTCCTTAGGTTCTTACTATTTCCCCCGTTACTCTTTTTTTTTCCACATTGTACTGCATCTAGAGCAAATTTGCAATAATCCATGATTTTATAGATCAGGCTAAGGTATACTGAAACTAAAAATAATCAAAAACCTTTAAAGGAAAGAAACTTAGATATTTCTTGGATGTGTCACAGAAGTGCATGTGCTTAATCATACAAACATATAAACATTTTCTAACTAGGAAAAGAAAATAAGTGTTAAAACAAAGCACAAGTAAACCAGTTTAGACTAAAGGAAAGTAGACATCACATACAGTTTATAATGGAAGTATAATGAAAGTTAAATAGTAAAGCTATAGGTGCAGGTGGCAGACACATCAAAGCATGCATTGGTGAAAAAGCAAAATGATTCAAAAATAAAGTAGTATTTCTTACCTGGCAAAGAAGAATTTATACAACCCCACACTTCTCCCTGAAAAGTAAAATGCAATTAAGCAAAAGTAAGTCTACGGAGTAAGAGAGTCTCTAGCAGACACAAAACAGCATTGCCAGCATTTTTGCCCTGGGTTTCAAATACTCCATTGGAAGAATCCTTACGTCTAAAACATCTTTTGGAGAAGCGCTACGTGACGTAAGCTGAGGACCACTTGCTTTCTGCCATCTGCAAGAGTATGGAATCAACAGCAGTGGGTTTGTAGGTGCAGAACGTGCTGTGATTGCCTGGAATATGCTAGCTGGTCAACTTTCTCCACCACTGTGGAGAGAAATAAGTAGCAACTAGCCAGGCTAAGAAAAAGATTTATCTAGGACCAAGACCTGTGGAGAAGCTCACTGCCCTAGCACTCTTTTCCACCAGCTTAAAAAAAAAAATCCCCAAACCCACATATAACCACACACAAAGCAAAAGAAAGAGGTTTTAAGGTACCCCAGAGACCAGAGAAACGTAGGAAAAGACAGATACACAGAAGAAAGAGTTGTAGAAGTGACCTTTACTAGCAGGAAAAGTTACAATAGGGATCTGTTGGGTTCACCTTGACCGCAAAGCACCTCTGGTCCTAAGCACAGGTCATCTAGCAGAACCTAAGTGGCTGATGGTACTAGGCAGAAGAATTCTGTAAAAGTTTCTTTTCTTTTGGCAGGAAAAAAAAAAAAAAAAGGCTGAAGATCTTCCAGAGAGTTGCTGTCCCCATCATTATTGTTAATGTACTCTCTCTTCTCCAGAGGCCTGAAGAACTACATGCTGTGGGAGCATTTAACGTCCTACAGCTGGAGTCTTACAACACTTGAACAACATGATCACAGTGTAGTATTTCAAACGACAAGAGTACACGAAGCCTGGAAGGGTTACATGTATTTTAGTACAATGTGACTGAATTTAATATTTTTTTTTTTAAGAAAGCACTAAGAAGACCTTAATTAGATGAAATCAGAGGAAAATTCTGCAGGGAATAAGAAGGCAAGTGACAAGTCTTAAGGGGTGTATTTGGTTTATGTGGTGAGGTTTTTGGAGTGGGGGCTGCAGGGGTGGCTTCTGTGAGAAGATGCCAGAAGCTGCCCCCATGTCCAAAATGGACCTGCTGGCCAGGGCTGAGGCAATCCGCGACGTTAGTAGTGTCTCTGCATTTAAGAAAGGGTAAAAACCACTGTGCTGGGAGAGAGGAACAAGAACATGTGAGAGAGACAACCCTGCAGTCACCAAGGTCAGTGAAGAAGGAAGGGGAGGAGGTGCTCCAGGCACCAGAGTAGAGATTCCCCTGCAGCCTGTGGTGAAGACCACAGTGAAAAAAGCCCATGGAGGGCCACGGTGGAGCAGAGACCCACCTGCAGCCCGTGGAGGACCCCACACCAGAGCAGGTGGCTGTGCCCTGAAGGAAGCTGCAGCCCGTGTAGCGCTCACACTGGAACAGGAACCTGGCAGGACCTGTGGAGTACAACCCACACTGGAGCTGGTTTTCTGGCAGGACCTGTGACCCCGTGGAAGAGGAGCCCACACTGGAGCAGGTTTCCTAGCAGGACTTGTGGCCCTGTGGGTGATCCACACTGGAGCAGTTTGTTCCTGAAAGATGGCACCCTATGGAAAGTACCCATGCTGGAGCAGTTCTTGAAGAACTGCAGCCCGTGGGAAAGACCCACGTTGGAGAAGTTTGTGGAGGACCATTTCCCATGGGTGGGATCACATGCTGGAGCAAGGGAAGAGCACAAGGAGAAAGGATCAGCAGAGACAATCCACAATGAACTGACCACAACCCCCATTCCCTGTCTCCCTGCGCCACTTGGTGGGGAGGAGGGAAGAGAAGTTGGGAGTGAAGCCGAGTCCAGTAAGAAGGGAGGGGTAGGGGGAAGGTGATTTTAGATTTTTTTTTCTTAGTTCTATTTATCCTACTCTGACCTTTTGATTGGCAACACATTAATTTCCTTGATTTGAGTCTGGTTTGCCCATGACAGTAATTGGTGAGTGATCTCTACCTGCCTTTATCTTGACCCACGAGCTGTTCATCATATTTTCTCTTCCCTGTCCAGTTGAGGAGCGGAGTGACAGAGAGGCTTGGTGGGCACCTGGCATGCAACCAAGGTTAATCTACCACAAGGGGCTTTAAATGAAAGAGTGGTGAACATGTTCTTTAAGACAAAATGAAAAATTCAACTCAATCACACTGAAATAGCAACCCATACTATTTTGATATGGGAATATCACGTCATGCAATGATTCTGCTATCACACAAATGAATGACTTTCTAAAGTTGCAATGGATGATCTAATGATGCAATCTAATGATCCAAAACCGTCTACCTCCGTATCTGAGGGAGGTTCCCACTTAGGTTAAGAGTCAAAGTCAGCTCAAAAGAAAAGGGTAAAGAGCTGCTACTTCTACTAGTTCCACTGCACAGATTCAGTTGACTCCCTTTATTTCAGGAGAAGGTTCACAGCTGGACTTGATCTTAAGGGTCTTTTCCAACTCAAATGATTCCATGACTCCAAGATAAAGTCACCACTTAACAGTTAATTGCTTAATACCAGGCGACACCCTTTCTATCATCTTACCTGAAGAAATACAGACAACACAATGTCTGTAACCAGTGCTCCAGAAAACAGACCATCTGATTAAATTCCTAACCTAACCGCTCATCCATGGAATGTCACTAGAACACCTCTCGAACAAAGACAAGTGGTTTCTGAAAACAGCAAATGTGGTATTAAGTTGAACTGTTACATATTTTATATCTAGATGTCTTTTTAAAAGTCTGTACATATTACCAGTTCAGTGATATTAATTTAAGATACACACTGGACAGTAAACTTGCCATTTATAAAGATGGTGATTGGGATTTAAAAAAAATCATTTTGTCAGTCATTTTCCCCTTTTCCAATACTCTCCAATCCTGTCTTCTAAAAAAGCACTCCTCCACTACACCAATAGATCCTACTCTTCCTGTCAGGGAAAAAAAAGATAAAGAAAACCAGTACCAAAAAATCACTATGCACCACTTCCATACGTTTTCACACCACAGGTTTTGCTCATATCATTAGCTGCCTACAGCTTCTCAAGACCTTGGCACTGATGATTCACAGAAACAAAACACTGAAAAAAACATACTTTTGACACACAGATGAAAGAACTAAAAGCAAACACGCTCATGCAAAGTCACTTATAAAATGGTATTCCCAGATTTACTACTCCTACACGTTGTTCGCTTGAGCTGAGTAGATGTTTTAGGCTAGCCGGAAACAGCATGGATACTGTTTAGAAGTCACAAAAATGATACGAAAGCAGACCTTGCTGACAGTAAACGTGTGGAGATATTCTAAGCTGCCAAGAGATAAGACTCCAGAATTTAAAATCTGAATGACAGCGCTTATCTCACACAGAACCACACAGAATGTCAGGGATTGGAAGGGACCTCAAAGGATCATCTAGTCCAATCCCCCTGCCGGAGCAGGACCACCTAGATCAGATCACACAAGAACGCGTCCAGGCGGGTTTGAAACATCTCCAGAGAAGGAGACTCCATAACCTCTCTGGACAGCCTGTTCCTGTGTTCTGTTACCCTTACTGTGAAGAAGTTCTTCCTCATGTTTAAGCAGAACCTCCTATGTTCCAGCTTAGATCCATTTCCCCTTGTCCTATCATTGGATGCCACTGAGAAGAGCCTGGTTCCATCCTCATCACAGTCACCCTTTACATATTTATAAACATGAATGAGGTCCCCCCTCAGTCTCCTCTTCTCCAAGCTAAAGAGACCCAGCTCCCTCAGCCTTTCCTCAGAAGGGAGATGCTCCACTCCCTTAATCATCTTTGTGGCCCTGCGCTGGACTCTCTCCAGCAGTTCCTTGTCCTTCTTGAACTGAGAGGCCCAGAACTGGACACAATATTCCTCTAATATTATCTAATCTCTTCCCTGATTAGATCATCTCTAAGACAGGGAGCAGACTACATTCTTAATTTTTTTTAGTCATGCACTAGAGAACTTTTAGGAAACTGTAATCTTATCCAATAAAAGCATTACTCCAGTTTGTCAGATATGGCCATAAACCTCTCGGAGCAGCTACGAGGGTCTCCTTGCCTTAGCCCAACCAAGACCTCACAGCTTTGTCCCATATACAAGCTGGAACACATGATCTAATTTAAGTCGCTGCCATCAACATCCAAGTGACAATCACTCAGCATACAACATAGGTCAGATTTTCATTTCATCATTTCATTTCATTATTTCATTTCATTATTTCTTACACAATCAGGACCCCTAGCAAAATTGTCAAGCCCCATCTTATTCTAAGTAGTGTAATGCATGATGGCTCTACAAAAAAAAAAAAAAAAAATCCTTTGAGGATCAGATCTTACTACAAGACTTTTTCTAGTCTTCATAACAAGGAAGATAAAGCTTGAAGACATACACACACGTTCTACCAACTGAAAACTCAGTGAGTAAATAAAACACAAGTAATTTTAAAACCTTGTTTTTGCAAGCAAAACTTTGTTAATATGAGGTTAGTTGTTTCGTGTTCTTCAATAAAAACTAGCAAGCCTTACCATTGATTCTGGACAATATTCGGGTGCTCGCTGCAGTAAGTGCTTCAAACGGGAATCACTCTTAGAAGACAAAATCTGTTAAGAAACAAAACACACCTTAAAACACACAGAATGTAACTACACATTGAATGCTTTTTTCAATTGATCGAATCGTTTTTAGTTTCACTGCTACCTGCCCTTCACCAACTTTGGCTGACAATACGTAAACAATGTAAAGTTAAGATTTTCTTTATAGTCTCTCAAATATGTCCCACTTTCTATGAAGAGGAATTTTTATATTCAGAAGTGAATGAGAATTTCCTCCTCAAAACACTTCAATCCAAAAGGTTCTAGTGAATAGGCAGTGCGAAATAGAGAGGATTTTTGCCCCACGTATCAAAATATTACACAGTTCTACTTAATTAACCTTCTGCTACATGTTACATGACCTCAGGCAACTAAACTCAACCCTGAAAGAAGGAATTTTTGTGGAACAAAGATGAACAAAACCTAGATTAGTTGAGAGACTATCAAAACCAACAGGGGAACAAACGCTAGCCACAGCTTAGCACCACCTAAGCAAACTGAACTGACCACTGTTTTCGAAAGATCATGGTGACTGGATGAGGTTCCTGATGATGGAAAAAAGACAAACATCATAAACATTGGAAAGGCAAGAAGGATAATCCGGGGAATCTGTGAACAGGCAGCACAGGGATACCAAGGGCAAATTGAGTCTGACAGCTTTCCATAACAAAAAGACTGTTCAGTAAAAAAGCTAAACCACATGCTGCATTTGGCAACAGTTGTCCATTTTCCCTTCTTCAGCCCTTAACTACTGCCATAGCACGCCTTGTTGCCCTCGACATCCTCTGCCAAGTCTCAACTCCAGTTGAGACTGGACTTCAATTCCAGTTGAATCACAGAACGGTTTGGGTTAGAAGGGACCCCAAAGATCATCCAGTTCCAACCCCCCTGCCATGGGCAGGGACACCCTCCACTACACCAGGTTGCCCAAAGCCTCATCCAACCTGGCCTTGAACACTTCCAGGGATGGGGCATCTACAACTTCTCTGGGCAACCTGGTCCAGTGCCTCACCACCCTCAGAGGGAAGAATTTCTTCCTTATATCCAATCTAAACCTCCCCTCTTTCAGTTTAAAGCCATTGCCCCATGTCCTGTCACTACATGCCCTTGTAAAAAGCCCCTCTCCAGCTTTCCTCTAGCCCCTTTAGGTACTGGAAGGTACTGGAAGGTCTCCCCGGAGCCTTCTCTTCTCCAGGCTGAACAGCCCCAACTCTCTCAGCCTGTCTCCATAGCAGAGGTGCTCCAGCCCTCGCATCATCTTCGTGGCCTCCTCTGGACCCACTCCAGCAGCTCCATGTCCTTCTTGTGTTGGGGAGACTTTGAGACTTTGACTTTCCCAATATAACCTTACATGCCTGGGCAAACGTCCTAAATTCCTCTTTTATAACCTTTCCCTGCTTTTACCTTCTCCATCCTGCCTTTCTGCATGGAAGCTTGTTCATGACTTCTCTGTTTAGCCAAGCCAGCCTCCTGAAACACTAACATGTTTTCCTGAGGACTGGGATGCTCTTATGCTTGGAGGAGGACCTGGATAGAGATCTCTGAAGTGGTACAGAGATGAAGGCTGCCAGGAAGCTCCTTGTTGCGAAACTTCCCCAAAATAAACTCAGGAAAAAAATGCCAATTAAAGACAGACGGGCCTACTTGTTCAACAGTATCTGACAGATTTCATCAAACAATCACGAAAAGGAAACGGCAGTGAAACTAAGCGTGTAGCAATACTTACTAAGAATGCAAAATAATTAGATGTTTGAATCATATCAGTTGACAAACAAATCCGTAATCTGAGTTTTCTTTTCCAAAGGGCTCACTTACAGTAGCTGAATTACTAGTTAGCAGCATTCCTTACTCTTCATCAAGCCTTTTTCCTGAACTGGCAGGATCAAGGAAAACACCATTGGGTCTCCTGTGCCCTTCACCCTAGCCCCTGGGCTGTAGTTACCTTTTACCCACGCAAGGCCTCCCTCAACAGTATCACTGGTGTCCATGCAGATGAGCAGGCAACAGGTAATAACAGTCTGAGGCTCAAAACCACCTTGCAATTTCTGCACCATGCTAGATCTGAGCCCCTAAAAACCAAACCACCTTAGACATCAAGTCTCATCTACAGTTGACTGCCTCCATCTGCCGCAGAAGGGAGTCTTTCTACTGGTGGCACTGTTTACAACCAGTTGATTAGGCCAAGGCAGCTCCCTGATGGACCTTGTTCCTCCTCACCTGCTTTAAGGCCTCAAATTTATTTTTTAAGTGCAAATCCAAAGACAAGCCAAGAAACCTCTTCCTGCTGTCAGGGGTCACAAGCTTTCAGTCTCCACTAAGCAGAGCCTCTGGCCATCCTTTCTATGCAACGCATAGTTGAGGCTATCACCCTTGCAGGTTCTCCATGAAGAGCTGGTCTAGCTCCCATGTACAGAGGCAATGCTTCTATCCTCAGCTTCTTCATCTGACAGTTCAGGAAGCTGCCCAGAGCATGACTCCCTGAGCTTAAGTGCCACTGACTCAAGGAGAGACACCAAGACTTGGATGGACACATTCTTCCTCAAGAGCTCCCTCTGGGTCAAAACCTCCAACATGTCACAGGTGGTTGGCCCAGCCGGTGCCAGAGACCATCCTGCTAGACATAACAGGTGAACACAGTCTCAAGCAGCACATCTGCACCACCTGCTGGCCCTGTCCACAGCAAACAGCTGTGTTAACACTCCAATTCCTGCCCGTGCTCCCTGGTCGCTGGCATTCCCTAAGCATTAGCT